GGGGCGAATAATGGCAATTTTGGGGTGAATAAAAGTAATTTTGGGGTGAATAACAATGATTTTGGGGCGAATAACAATGATTTTGGGGTGAATTATGATCATTTGGGGGTAATTATCCCGATTTTGGGGCGAATAATGACAATTTTGGGGTGAATAATGACAACTTTAGGGCAATAACCCCGATTTTGGGGTGACTATTTCTGATTTTGGGGTGAACAACAATAATTTTGGGGTAATTATCCCAATATTGGGGCGAATAATGACAGTTTTGGGATGAAAAACGATAATTCTGGGGGCGAATAATGATTTTGGGGCAATTATCCTGATTTTCGGGGGAACAGTGACGATTTTGGGGCAGTGACCCTGATTTGGGGGTGAATAATGACAATTTCGGGGTGAATAATGACAATTTTGGGGTAATAACCCCAATTTTGGGGCGAATGACTCCAATTTGGGGTCTCACGACCCTCACGTTTCTCTCTCTCTCTCTCTCTCTCCCCCTCCCCAGCCCCCGCCGCCCCCTCCCCGCCCTCCCCCGTGACCCCCTCCTCCCCTCCCCCGCCCGGCCCCGCCCCGGCCCCGCCGGCCCCGCCCGAGCTGCGGCTCATCCTGGAGGAGCTTCGGCAGCTGCGGCAGCGGCAGCTGCTCCAGATGCAGCTCACCCAGGACATCTGCCGCCAGCTCCTGCTCCTGGGGGCCCTCGACCACCCCCCCAGGGCCCCCCAGAAGCCCCCGCCCCGCCCCCACCTCCTGCTCTTCCCGCCCTTCCCCAAAGCGCCGCGCGCCGGCATCGCCGTGGCCTTGGCGTCCACCCTGGACCCCGTGGCCGTGCTGGGCTCGGCGTTGGGCTCGGCGGCTTCCTTGGGGTCGACGTTGGGCTCGGCGGCTTCCTTGGGGTCGACATTGGGCTCGGCGCCTTCGTTGGGTCCAAAGTTGGGTTCGGCGTCAACGTTGGGCCCAACGTTGGGCTCGGCGTCTTCGTTGGGGTCAACGTTGGGCTCGGCGTCTTCGTTGGGGTCAACGTTGGGCTCGGCGTCTTCGTTGGGCCCAACATTGGGCTCGGCATCTTCACTGGGCCCAACTTTGGGTTCAGCATCTTCGTTGGGCCCAAAGTTGGGTTCGACGTCTTCGTTGGGTCCGAAGTTGGGTTCAGCATCAACGTTGGGCCCAAAGTTGGGTTCAACGTCATCGTTGGGCCCAAAGTTGGGTTCAGCCTCAGCGTTGGGCCCAACTTTGAGTTCAGCATCAACGTTGGGTCCAAAGTTGGGTTCAACGTCATCATTGGGCCCGAAGTTGGGTTCAACCTCAGCGTTGGGCCAGGCGACGTCATCGTTGGGTTCGACGCCACCGTCGTTGGGTTCGGCGCCATCGTTGGGTTCAACGCCACCGTTGGGCTCAGGGTTGGGTTCAACGCCGCCGTTGGGCCCCCCGTTGGGTTCCCCGGCCCTGGCGGGCCGGCACGGCTGCGGGTTCTGCGGGAAGCCGTTCGGCAGCGCCAGCGCGCGGCAGATCCACCTGCGCTCGCACACCGGGGAGCGGCCCTTCCGCTGCGACCTCTGCGGCGGCCGCTTCACCACCCGCGGCAACCTCAAGGTGCACCTGAGGCGCCACCGCCAGAAGGGCCCGGCCGAGCGACGCGCCGGTGACGCCGAGGTGGAGGGCGCTGCGGCGGAGGTGGGCGGGGTCAAGAAGGGGGGTGACGGGTCATTGGGGGGGCGGCGGGTCAAGGTTGGGTCAATGGGTCAAAGTTGGGTCAATGGGTCAAAGTTGGGTCAACGGGTCATTGGGGGGGGTCAATGGGTTGAGGTTGGGGGGTCAACGGGTCAAGTTGGGGGTCAACAGGTCAAGATTGGGTCAATGGGTCATTGGGGGGGTCAATGGGTTGAGGATGGGGGTCAATGGGTCAAGGTTGGGTCAACAGGTCATTGGGGGGTCAATGGGGCAAGTTGGGGGTCAATGGGTCAAGGTTGGGTCAACAGGTCATTGGGGGGTCAATGGGGCAAGTTGGGGGTCAACGGGTCAAGGTTGGGTCAACAGGTCATTGGGAGGGTCAATGGGTCAAGGCTGGGGGAGAAGGGGTCAGGGTTGGGTCAACGAGTCATTGAGGGTCAATAAGTCAAGGTTGGGGGTCAATGGGTCAAGTTGGGGGTCAAGAGGTCAAGTTGGGGGTCGCCGGGTCAAAACGTCTCCGTGTTCCCACCCCGCAGGTCAACGTCGTCCCCCAGCTGGTGGCCACGCCCACCCTGCCCGTGGCCACGCCCACCACGCCAATTCCCACCATCTCCGTGACCACGCCCACCCCGTCGATGGCCACGCCCACCCCGCCAATGGCCACACCCAGCTCACAAATGGCCCCGCCCACCCCGCTGGCAGGTCCCATCCCCTTCCCCAGCAGGCCCCTCCCCCCGGGCGACGGGAACGCCCCTCCCCCAGCCCCGCCCCCCCGCCGGCCGTGGCCCCAGAACGGCCCCAAATGCCGGGACCCCGACCCCAAATCCCGGGATGGCGGCGGCTCCGAGACCTCCAAGCTGCAGGAGCTGGTGGAGAAGTTGGAATTCCGGCCCTGCTGCCCCTCCCCCACCACCTGCCACGGGAGGGGGAGGGGCGGAGGCACCGGGGCCTCCGGGACCGGAAATTCCACGGCCTTGGGTGGAAATTCCCAAATTTTGGGCGGGAACTCCCCGATTTTGGATGGGAACTCCCCAGTTTTGGGCGGGAATTCCTCGGTTTCGGGCAGGAATTCCCCAGTTTTGGATGGGAATTCCCCGAATTCGGGCGGGAATTCCTCAGCTTTGGGCGCGAATTCCCTCATTTCCGGCAGAAATTCCCTCGTTTCGGGCAGAAATTCCCCAATTTTGGGTGCGAATTCCTCGGGTTTGGGTGGAAACTCCTCGATTTCCGGCGGGAATTCCTCGATTTTGGGCAGAAATTCTCCAATTTTGGGAGCAAATTCCCCGATTTTGGGTGGGAATTCCTCGGTTTTGGGTGAGAATTCCCCGGTTTCGGGGGGGCCCCGCCGGTGCCGGGTGTGTGGGCGGGGTCGGGCCCCCCAAAATCCACCCCTGAAATTGGGGGAAGAGGAGGAAGAGGAGGAGGAAGAAGAAATGGGGGCGTTGGACCCCCCCAAGGCACCAGGAGAGCCCGAAAACCGGGAGGCAGGAGGGGAGGTGAGGGGGAACCCCGAAATTTGGGGGGCTTGGGGGGTCTTGGGGTGGAGGAACCCCAAAATTGGGAGGTTTAGGGGGAGGGACCCCAAAATTGGGGGGTTTTGGGGGGGGTCTTGTGGTGAGTAAGCCCCAAAACTGAGGGGTTTGGGGTGAGAAGACCCCAAAATTGGGGTGGTTTGAGATGGAGGGACCCCGAAAAACGGGGGGGGGTTTTTTGGGGAGTCTTGGGATGGGGAGACCCTAAATTTGGGGGGGGTTGAGGTGGGGGGGGAGAATTTTGGGGGGGGGTTTTGGGGACCCCCTGCCAAGGCACTGACCCCCCCACACCCCTTTTTGTCCCCTCAGGTGCCCTCAGAGCGGACCCCGACCCCCGAAATCGTGGGAGAGGAGGAGGAGAAGAAGTAGATTTTTAGGGGGAAACCCCAAAATCCCCCCCTCAGCCCCCCCCCCGACGTGTAGAGACCAATTAAAGCCCTTTCTGACCCCTCCCGGCTCATGCCTGTGATTTCAGGGGCAGCGAGGGATTGGGGGGAGCCCCCCCTAAAAAGGGAACCCTAAAAAATGAGGGAAATCCCCCAAAATTGACGTTTTTCCCCTCGAAAAAAAAATTACCGGGTTCACAAAATGGCGGCGGTTGCCATGGAAACCGTGTGAGCGTGACCAGCGCGCAAAATGGCGGCCGGTTGCCGTGGCAACCGCGAGGCGCGGGAACTGCTCGGGTTCAAAATGGCGGCGGTTGCCGTGGAAACCGTGCGGGGGGAGGAGGGGGCAGTGCCGGCCCGCCGAAATCGGCGGCGGTTGCCATGGAAACTGGGGAGGGGGGGATTGACAGCTCCCCAAAAACTGGCGGCGGTTTCCCCTACTCAAAACGACGGCGGTTGCCATGGAAACCCGGGGGGGGGTGTTGGGGAGAAGCGCCGGCTCCCCAAAAAATCGGCGGCGGCGGTTGCCGCGGCAACGGCGAGGCGGGATCTGCCCGCGGCCAAAATGGCGGCGGTTGCCGTGGAAACCGGCGGGGGGGGGGGGAGAAGCGCTGCCCTCACTCAAGATGGCGGCGGTTGCCATAGGGATCGCAACAGTGCCCTCATCCAAGATGGCGCCGGCGGCCTCTCCCCCACCGGAAGCAGTTTCCGGTTCCGGTTCCGGCGGCTGTGGCGGCGCGGCCCGGGCTCGGCTCTCGGGTGCCGGTTCCCGATCGCTCCGTCGCTGTCGGGGCCCTGTCGCGACATTTCGGGACGATGTCGGACACGTGGAGCTCGATCCAGGCGCACAAGAAGCAGCTCGACTCGCTCCGCGAGCGGCTCCAGCGCCGCCGGAAGCAGGACCCGCTGGGCGGGGCGGGTAAAGGAGGCGCTAATGAGGGGCGGGCGCTAATTAAGGGGGGTGGGGGGAGTGGGGGGTGAGGGGTTAATGAGGGGTCGGGGGGTTAATTAGGGGTCGGGGTTAATGGGCTGGTCAGTGGGTTAATTAGCGGTCAGGGGTTAATGAGGGGTCAGGGGGTGGTTAATTGGGGGTAGGGGTTAATTAGGGGCCGGGGGTTAATTAGGGAGACAAGGAGGGGTTGATGGGGGTCGAGGAGGGGTGTCTGGGGTTAATTGGGGAGGGCAAGGGTTAATTAAGGGCTGGGAGTTAACTAGGGGGTGAAGGGGGGATTAATTGGGGGTCAGGGGTTAATTAGGGGTCAGGGGTTAATTGGGGGGTCAGGGGTTAATTGGGGGGTCGGAGGAGGGGTTAATTAGGGCGGCAAGGGTGGGTTAATTAGGAGGGTCAGGGGTTCATTAAGGGCTGGAGGCTAATTAGGGGGGTCAAAGGAGGGTTTAATGGTGGCAGTCAGGGGTTAATTAGGTCAGGGGTTAATTAAGGGTTAGGGTTAATTAGGGAGTCAAGGGGGGTTAATTAAGGGGTCAGAGGACGGTTTAAGGGGGGAGGTCAGAGGTTAATTATCGAGGTCAAGGGTTAATTAAGGGTTAGGGTTAATTAGGGAGTCAAGGGGGGGTAATTAAGGGGTCAGAGGAGGGTTTAAGGGGGGGAGGCCAGGCATTAATTAGCGCTCAGAGCTTAATTATCATGTGGTGGGGGCAGCTTAATTAGGGCTCCAAAGTGCTAATTAGTGCTAATTAACCCCGCAGCTCCCGCCCATGACCTCTCCCTGTCGGCCCCGCCCCGCACCTCCAGCCCCGCCCCCTCCGCCGGAAGCCCCGCCCTCTGCTCCACCCCAGGAGGCCCCTCCCCCTCTGCTGCCTTGGGGGGCGTGGCCGCGGGAGGCCGCGCCTCTCCTCATTGTGGAGGAGGGGGCGTGGCCTCCGAGGGCGTGTCCGGAGGTGGGGGCGGGGCCGGCGGAGAGGGGGCGGGGCCCGACCCGGCGCTGGAGCGGCGCCTCCTGCTGCTGCTGTCGGACCTGGCGCTGCCCCTCCCCCGCGACGCCGCCGCCCTCTGCGCCGCCCTCCAGCAGGTGAGGCACACCTGGGATATACCTGGGATATACCTGGGATATGCCTGGGCACACCTGGGCACACCTGGGTACGCCTGGGTACGCCTGGGATATACCTGGGATATGCCTGGGCACACCTGGGCACACCTGGGTACGCCTGGGTACACCTGAGATACACCTGGGTATACCTGAGATACACTTGGGCACACCTGGGATACACCTGGGCACACCTGGGATACACCTGGGCACACCTGGGTACACCTGGGCACACCTGGGATACACCTGGGCACACCTGGGTACACCTGGGCACACCTGGGTACACCTGGGATACACCTGAGATACACCTGGGAGACCATAGATCACCGGGTCACACCCTGGCACACCTGGGCACACCTGGGCACACCTGAGCACACCTGGGATGCACCTGGGCACACCTGAGCACACCTGGGCACACCTGGGATACACCTGGGCACACCTGGGATACACCTGGGATACACCTGGGCACACCTGGGCACACCTAAGACACACCTGAGGGGCCTGGGACACAAATGCACCCTCACCTGGGCACACCTGGGACACGCCCGTACCTGGGCACACCTGGGCACGCCCCCCACATTCCCCCCCCAGGTGTGCTGAGGTGCCCCCAGGTGACTCCCAGGCCCCCCCAGGTGTGCTGAGGTGCCCCCAGGTGACCCCCTGTCCCCTCCCCTGGCAGGGCTCCGCCCCGGCCCCGCCCGCGGCGTGGGTGGAGAGCCTCCTGCAGAAGTTCGCGGCGCAGGAGCTGATCGAGGTGCGCCGGGGGCTCCTCCCCGACGGCCCCACCCTCGTCACCTTCGCCGACCACGCCAAGCTGGCCGCCATGACCGGCCTGGTGGGCGGGGCCTCCTCCTCCTCCTCCGGCCACAAGCGCCACGCCCGCCCCGAGGAGGACGGGGAGGGGGGCGGGGCCGGCGGGGAAGGGGGCGGGGCGATGGGGGGCGAGGGGAAGGAGGTGAAGAGGTGGCGCCGGGCGACGGCGGCGTCGTCCGACGTGGACCTGGAGATCGAGAGCCTGCTGAGCCAGCAGAGCACCAAGGAGCAGCAGAGCAAGAAGGTGGGCGGGGCCAAAGGGAGGGGGCGGGGCCTAGGGGCGGTGGGCGGGGCGACAGAGAGGTGGGCGGGACCGTGAGATGGTGAAGAACGCGGAGGTTCCTCGAGGTTTTTGGGGCGCCAAGATGGCGGAGGGGGAGGTTGGGGGGACCCCCAAGGTGGTTTTTGGTCGCCCTAAGATAGTTTTGGGAATCCTGAGACAGTTTTGGTTGCCCCAAGATAGTATTGGTTGCCCCAAGATGCTTTTTGGTTGCCCCAAGATAGTTTTGGTTGCCCCAAGATAGTTTTGAGCACCCCAAGATAGTTTTGGTTGCCCCAAGATAGTTTTGGTTGCCCCAAGGAGCATTTTGGTCGCCCCAAGGTGGTTTTTGGGTGCCCCCCCAGGTGAGCCAGGAGATCCTGGAGCTGCTCAACACGACGACGGCCAAGGAGCAGTCGATCGTGGAGAAGTTCCGCTCGCGGGGGCGGGCGCAGGTGCAGGAGTTCTGCGACCACGGCACCAAGGAGGAGTGCGTCAAGGCCTCGGGCGCCGAGCGGCCCTGCCGGAAGCTCCACTTCCGGTCAGTCCCTGGTGGCCGGGATTTTGGGGACGTTCTCCGTGGTTTTGGGGGGTCTTTTCCATCCTCCTCGCTCTTCTCTGCTTTTTGTTTTCCGTCTCTAACCCGGGGTCTTCGTCCTTGGTTCCATGTTCTCCTCTTCCATCCATGACCTCGGGGTCTTCGTCACTCCATGTCTTCCTCCTCCGTCTCCTCGTGTTCTCCTCTTCCATCCATGACCTCGGGGTCTTCATCACTCCATGTCTTCCTCCTCCGTCTCCTCATGTTCTCCTCTTCCATCCATGACCTCGGGGTCTTCATCACTCCATGTCTTCCTCCTCCGTCTCCTCGTGTTCTCCTCTTCCATCCATGACCTCGGGGTCTTCATCACTCCATGTCTTCCTTCTCCTTCTCCTCACGTTCTTCTCCTCCATCCACGATCCCGTGCTCTTCCTCCATGAGTTCCTGGTCTTCCTCCACGTTCTCGTGTCCTCCATCCATCCATCACTCCACGTCTTTGTCCTCCATCTCCTCACGTTCTTCCTTCCCCATCCACGACCCCGCGGTCTTCATCACTCCGCGTCTTTGTCCTCCATCTTCTCACGTTCTCCTTCCTCCGTGACTCCTCTTCCTCTCTCCACGTTCTTCCTCCATCCTCCCCCAACACCCCCCCGCAGGCGGATCATCAACAAGCACACGGACGAGTCCCTGGGCGACTGCTCCTTCCTCAACACCTGCTTCCACATGGACACCTGCAAGTACGTCCACTACGAGATCGACGCCTGCGCCGCCTCCTCGCCGCCGCTCAGCCCGGCCCGCGCCCGGCCCCGCGACCGCAGCCCCCCGCCCGACCTGCCCCGCGGGCCCCCCGCCGACGCCGGCGCCGACCGCCTCTTCCCCCCGCAGGTACCCCCTCCCAAAAAACGGGGGGCTTTTGGGTGATTCCCTCGCCTTCCCCGCGGTTTCGAGGTGGTGGTTCTCTCCCTTCCCGCCGTTTTTGAGGCGATTCCCTGGTTTCCTGCCTCCTGTGAGGTGATTTTCCCGTTTCCCGCCGTTTTCTGACTCAATCCCCTCGTATTCCACCGTTTTTTTAGGCAGTTCCCCCATTTCCAGACATTTAATGAAGTAATTGCTTTATTTCTCACCGTTTCCTGAGTCAACGCTCTCATATCCCACCATCTTATGAATCGATCCCTTCGTATTCCCCCATTTTCTGAGACAATCCCCTCATATTCTACCATTTTCTGAGGTGATCCCCTCATTTCCTGAGGCGATTCCCTCATTTCCCGCCATTTTCTGAGGGGATCCCCTCATATTTCACCATTTCCCGAGGCGATCCCCTCATTTCCCGCCGTTTTCTGAGGCAATTTCATTAATTTCTCGCCATTTTCTGAGGCGATGCCCTTGCATTCCCCATTTTTCTGAGGCGATCCCCTCATTTCCCGCCATTTTCTGAGGCGATTTTGTTATTTCCCGCCATTTCCTGAGGCGATCCCCTCATTTCCCGCCATTTTCTGAGGCAATCTCCTCGTTTCCCGCCATTTTCTGAGGGGATCCCCTTGTTTCCCACCATTTTCTGAGGGGATCCTCTCATATTCCACCATTTTCTGAGGCGATCCCCTCATTTCCCACCATTTCCTGAGGCGATCCCCTCTTTCCCGCCATTTCCTGAGGTGATCCCCCCTTTCCCGCCATTTCCTGAGGCGATCCCCTCTTTCCCGCCATTTCCTGAGGCGATCCCCTCACCCTTCTCCACCTCCGGATCCGCTCCCTCCATTTCACGCCCGATCCCTGCTCTCCCACACCCCCCCCTTCTCATTTTCCCCCCATTTTTCCCTCACTTTCCCCTCCTTTTCCCCCTGGTTTTCCCGCAGTGGATCTGCTGCGACATCCGCTACCTGGACGTGTCCATCCTGGGCAAGTTCGCCGTGGTCATGGCGGACCCGCCCTGGGACATCCACATGGAGCTGCCCTACGGGACCCTGACGGACGACGAGATGCGGCGCCTCAACATCCCCGTCCTGCAGGACGAGGGCTTCCTCTTCCTCTGGGTCACCGGCAGGTCAGGCCCCAAAAACCCCTCGGGGATCCCAAAAACCCTTCAGGGATCCCAAAAACCTCTCAGGAATCTCAAATATCCTCTCGAGGGTCCCCGAAACCCCTCAGGGATCCCAAAAGCCTTTTAGGGTGACTAAAAACTCCTCAGGGGTCCCAAAAACCCTTCAGGGATCCCAAAAACCCCTCAGGGGTCCCAAAACCCCTTGGGGATATCAGAAACCTCTCAGGGGTCCCAGAAACCCCTCAGGGATCCCAAAACCCCCTCAGGGATCCCCAAAACCTCTCAGGGGTCCCAAAACCCCCTCAGGGGTCCCAAAACCCCCTCAGGGATCCCCAAAACCCCTCAGACACCCCCCCTAAGCCCCCGTTTCTCCCTCTCTTGCAGGGCCATGGAGCTGGGCCGCGAGTGCCTCAACCTCTGGGGGTGAGTGAGTTTTGGGGGGGGGTCTCCCCTCTCCAATTCCCCCCCACACCCCAAAAACCCACCCCAGGACCCCCAAAACCTCTCTCTATGGGGTCCTGACTCTCCAAAAACCCACCCCAGGACCCCCAAATCCCCCTTTATGGAGCCCCCACACCCCAAAAACCCACCCCAGGATCCCAAATCCCCCTTTATGGAGCCCCCACACCCCAAAAAACCCAAAAGAAAGAGCAACAGACCGCCAAAACCCACCCCAGGACCCCAAATTCCCGCTTTAATGGAGTCCCCAAAAACAAGCAAAAGCACCCTAAAATCGTCCGTTTATGGAGTCCCTGAACTCCCCCCAAACCCACCTCGGATCCACCTGCAAAAACCCCAAAAAACCCACCCCAGGACCCGCAAAACACGCCCTTTAATAATGAGCCCCCCACACCCCAAAAACCTACCCCAGGACCCCAAAACTCCCCTCTATGGGGTCCTGATCCCCCAAAGACCCACCCCAGGACCCCCAAATCCCCCTCTATGGAGCCCCCACACCCCAAAAATTCACCCCAGGACCCCCAAAATCTCTCTCTGTGGGGTCCTGACTCTCCAAAAACCCACCCCAGGACCCCCAAAACTCCCTTTTACGGAGCCCCCGCACCCCAAAATCGCCCTCTATGGAGTCCTGACCCCCCGAATCCCCCCTGGGACCCCCCAGTTTCCCCCAGGACCCCCCGAAATCTCCCCGACCCCCCCCGACCCCGCAGGTACGAGCGCGTGGACGAGATCATCTGGGTGAAGACGAACCAGCTGCAGCGGATCATCCGCACGGGCCGCACGGGCCACTGGCTCAACCACGGCAAGGAGCACTGCCTGGTACCCCAAAAACCGGGGGGGCCCCAAAAACCCCCACCCGGCACCCCCCTGGTACCCCGAAATACGGGGGGGCCCAAAAACCCCCACCCGGCACCCCCCTGGTACCCCAAAAACTGGGGGCGGCCCCAAAAACCCCCACCCGGCACCCCCCTGGTACCCCAAAAACCGGGGGGGGCCCAAAAACCCCCACCCGGCAACCCCCCTGGTCCCCACCCCCGAAATAAGGGGGCCACCAAAAACCCCCACCCGGCACCCCCCTGTAAACCCAAAAAAAAAAAACCGGGGGGCCCCAAAAAAAAAACCCCCACCCGGCACCGCCCCCTGGTACCCCAAAAACCGGGGGGGCCCCAAAAACCCCCACCCGGCACCCCCCTGGTACCCCAAAAACCGGGGGGGGGCCCAAAAACCCCCACCCGGCACCCCCCTGGTACCCCGAAATACAGGGGGGCCCCAAAAACCCCCACCCGGCACCCCCCTGGTACCCTGAAATACGGGGGGGCCCAAAAAAACCCCCCCTGGGGGGGCCAGGACTCCATAAAGGGGGATTTGGGGGGGTAGGGGGGCCGTAAAGGGGGTTTTGGGGGTCCTGGGGTGGGGTTTTGGGGGGTGGGGACTCCATAAAGGGGGATTTGGGGGTCCTGGGGTGGGTTTTTGGGGTGTGGGGGCTCCATGAAGGGGGATTTGGGGGTCCTGGGGTGGGTTTTTGGGGTGTGGAGGATCCATAGAGGGGGATTTGGGGGTCCTGGGGTGGGTTTTGGGGTGTGGAGGATCCATAGAGGGTATTTGGGGGTCCTGGGGTGGGTTTTTTGGGTGTGGAGGATCCATAGAGGAGGATTTGGGGGTCCTGGGGTGGGTTTTGGGGGGTCAGGACCCCATAGAGAGGGGTTTTGAGGGTGCTGGGGTGGGTTTTGGGGGGTCAAGACTCCATAAAGGGGATTTTTGGGGTGTGGAGGATTCACAGAGGGGGATTTGGGGGTCCTGGGGTGGGTTTCTGGGGGATCAAGATTCCATAAAGGGCAATTTTGGGGTGTGGGGGCTCCATAAAGGGGGATTTGGGGGTCCTGGGGTGGGTTTTTGGGGTGTGGGGGCTCCATGAAGGGGGATTTGGGGGTCCTGGGGTGGGTTTTGGGGGGTCAGGACTCCATAAAGGGGGATTTTGGGGTGGGTTTTTGGGGTGTGGGGGCTCCGTAAAGGGGGGATTTGGGGTCTCAGGTCTCCCCAGAGGGGAGTTTTGGGGTGCTGGGGTGGGGTTTTGGGGTGTGGGGGCTCCATAAAGGGAGATTTTTGGGGTCCCGGGGTGTTTTTTGGGGTCTCATCCCCCCCAAAAGTCGCCCCTGTCGCAGGTGGGGGTGAAGGGGAACCCCCAGGGCTTCAACCGGGGCCTGGACTGCGACGTGATCGTGGCCGAGGTGAGACCCGACCCCAAACCCGGCGGTTTGGACCCAAAAACGGGGGGAAATCAGGGAACTGCCTCAGGAAATAAGGGAAAATCAGGGAACTGCCTCAGGAAATAGGGAAAAGCGAGAGAATTGCCTCAGAAAATGGGGAAAATCAGGGAATTGCCTCAGAAAATGGGGAAAATCAGGGAATTGCCTCAGAAAATAGGGAAAAGGGAGGGAATTGCCTCAGAAAATAGGGAAAAGTGAGGGAATTGCCTCAGAAATTGGAGTAAAAATGAGGGAATTGCCTCAGAAAATGGCAGGAAATGAGAGAATTGCCTCAGAAACTGCATTAAAAACGAGGGAATTACCTCAGGAAATGCCAGAAAATGAGGGAATCACCTCAGAAAATGGGTTTAAATGATGCAATTACCTCAGAAAATGGCAGGAAAGGAAGGAATTACCTCAGAAAACGGGGTAAAAATGAGGGAGTTACCTCACAAAATGTCGGGAAATGAGGGAATCTCCTCAGGAAATGGTGGGAAATGAGAGAATTACCTCACAAAATGTCGGGAAATGAGGGAATCTCCTCAGGAAATGGCGGGAAATGAGAGAATTACCTGAGAAACTGGGGTAAAAACGAGGGAATCGCCTCAGGAAAGGGCGGGAAATGAGGGAATTACCTCAGAAAATGGCGGGAAATGAGGGAATCTCCTCAGGAAATGAAGGAATCACCTCAGAAAATGGCGGGAAATGAAGGAATCACCTCAGAAAATGGCGGGAAAATGGGGGAATCACCTCAGGAAATGAAGGAATCACCTCACAAAATGGCGGGAAATGAGGGAATCTCCTCGGGAAATGAAGGAATTACCTCACAAAATGGCGGGAAACGAAGGAATCACCTCAGAAAATGGCGGGAAACGAGGGAATCTCCTCGGGAAAGGAAGGAATCTCCTCACAAAACGCCGGGAAACGTCAGGAAATCCTTTCCCCCCTTTCCCCAGGTGCGCTCGACGAGCCACAAGCCCGACGAGATCTACGGGATGATCGAGCGGCTGTCGCCGGGCACGCGCAAGATCGAGCTCTTCGGCCGCCCCCACAACGTCCAGCCCAACTGGTGACCGGCCCTTTCCTTCCCTTTGGGGGCTCAAAGGGCATTTCGGAGCTCAAAGGGGATTTTTGGGGGTTAAAGGGGATTTTTTGGGGTTCAAAGGGAATTTTTTGGGGTTTAAAGGGGATTTTTGGGGGTTTAAAGGGGATTTTTTGGGGGTTTAAAGGGGATTTTTGGGGGTTTAAAGGGGATTTTGGGGGTTTAAAGGGGATTTTTGGGGGTTTAAAGAGGATTTTTGGGGGTTTAAAGGGGATTTTTTGGGGGGTTTAAAGGGGATTTTTGGGGTTTAAAGGGGATTTTTGGGGGTTTAAAAATGATTTTTTTGGGATTTAATGGAGATTTTTGGGGGGTTTAAAGGGGATTTTTTGGCGTTTAAAGGTGATTTTTTTGGAGTTTAAAGGAGATTTTTTGGAGTTTAAAGGGGATTTTTTTTGTGGTTTCAAGATGATTTTTTTGGGGCTTATTTGGAATCTTTTTTTTTTGCGTTTAAAGGGGATTTTTTGGAGTTGAAATGGGATTTTTTTGGGGGTTTAAAAGTGATTTTTTTGGGGTTTAATGGGGATTTTTTTGGGGATTTAATGGAGATTTTTTGGGCGTTTAAAGATGATTTTTTTTTTAGGTTTAAAGGTGATTTTTTGGGGGTTCAAAGGGGGATTTTTTTTTTTTGGAGGTTTAATGGGGATTTTTAGGGGTTTAAAGATGATTTTTTTGGGGTTTAATAGGGAGTTTTGGGGGATTTAATAGAGATTTTTTGGAGTTCAAAGGGGATTTTTTGGGGGTGTTTTCTGTTGATTTTTGGGGTTCAGAGGCGATGTTTTTGGGGTGTTTTCTGTTGATTTTGGGCTCTCTCCCCCAGGATCACGTTGGGGAACCAGCTGGAGGTTTAATGGGATTTTTTGGGGTTCGGAGGGGATTTTTGGGGTGTTTTCTGTTGATTTTGGGTTCTCTCCCCAGGATCACGTTGGGGAACCAGCTGGAGGTTTAAAGGGATTTTTTTGGGGTGTTTTCTGTTGATTTTGGGCTCTCTCCCCTTTAAGGATCACGTTGGGGAACCAGCTGGAGGTTTAGGGGGATTTTTTTGGGGTGTTTTGTGTTGATTTTGGGTTCTCTCCCCAGGATCACGTTGGGGAACCAGCTGGAGGTTTAGGGGGATTTTCTGGGGTGTTCTTTGTTGATTTTTGGGGTGTTTTCTGTTGATTTTGGGCTCTCTCCCCCAGGATCACGTTGGGGAACCAGCTGGAGGTTTAGGGGGATTTTTTTGGGGTGTTTTCTGTTGATTTTGGGTTCTCTCTCCCCCAGGATCACGTTGGGGAACCAGCTGGAGGTTTAATGTGGATTTTTTGGGGTGTTTTCTGTTGATTTTGGGTTCTCTCCCCTTTAAGGATCACGTTGGGGAACCAGCTGGAGGTTTAGGGGGATTTTTTTGGGGTGTTTCCTGTTGATTTTGGGTTCTCTCCCCAGGATCACGTTGGGGAACC